AGCAGTGGTTACCGTGGGCAGAATTTTGGTATAATACTTCTTTCCACACCGCCACGAAGCACACTCCCTTTCAGATTGTGTATGGTTGTGATCCTCCGCTGGTCATGCCTTTTGAGAAGGGAATGACTGTAGTTTCCTCAGTAGAACAATCCTTGGTCAGCAGGGATGAAGTCCTCCAGCACCTCAAGATGCAACTTTTGCGCCCCCAACAACGAATGAAGCAAGAGGCGGATGGGCATCGTCGTGATCTCTAGTCGAAAGTTGGGGACTTGGTATATCTGAAATTGCATCATCACCGTCAGAAGTCTACGGCTCAAAGATCATCGGCAAAACTTTCTCCCAGATATTATGGACCTTTTGAAATTCAGGCCAAAGTGGGGCAAGTTGCTTACAAATTGAAACTTCCACCGGAGTCCACTATCCACCCAGTTTTTCATGTGTCGCAGCTCAGGAAGGCTGTTGAGAATGCTCAGACTGTTTCAGAATTAGCAAAACACCTTGCTGTGGCGACCTCGAGCAGAGTGGAACCGAAGAGAGTGTTACAATTCCGTTCTAACTCAGCAAGTTCAGCCTTGGGTCCTGAAGTTCTGATCAAGTGGAAGAACTCTCCAGACTACGAAGCCACCTGGGAGTCAGTTGAAAACATCCGCCAGCAATTTCCACACTTCCACCTTGAGGACAAGGTGGATTTTGAAGGGAGGGTATTGATAGACCCCCGATGATTTTTAAATACGCAAGAAGGAGTAAGGAGGCAGCCACGTCAGCTAAGTATCCAAATAAATTAAGCATGCAGTTTGTTATTATGTTATTTTGTTAGGGGGGAGGGTAGTGAGTCAGTTAGGGAAATTGTCAATAAATATAAAGGGGAGGGCGGGTAGCAATTAGAGAAAAATCAGGAGTGTGGTAGGAGAGTACAGAGTCTCTGGAATGCTCTGGTTTGTTGGAGTCAAATTTTACGTTCAATTCAATAAATTCACTCATTTCCATTGAATTTACTCTTCTTAGGTAAACGAGTTTGTTCCATCAATTCAGGTTCTTATCAGCTTTACCTAGAAAATTTTGATTGCCACTTAAACCAGAGAATAAGTATCAACACCAAAGTTGTTATGAAGTCTTAGATAATAACAAAACAACGGATTGTAAAATCTGCAATATAAAACACATGAACAACAATAACAGACAGGTACGTATAAAAGAAGACTTAGACCCACCTGCAGGGGATACATCGAAGGTTTTAGATAATCGGTAATTTGCAATATCTCCTGCAGAGTGATGCAGCCATATCTCAAGCAACTGAAATCCGTGAACCACCATGGCCTGTGGATAAAAGTTAGAAAACAGTCTACCAATTGGTGATTTCCATTCAATAACGCCATAAATACTAATAATCGACCAGGATACTACCTGTAGTGTCTCAAAAGCAATGCTAGTAGGCTCAAAAAATAACAGCAAAGACACCGATGAACTTGTTGCACTGTACATGGTAAAACATAGCCAAATCCTACAACACACCAAATATTGTGTAAGACACTTCAGACAACAATACCAACAAGAAAAAAAATGTCACAAGAATTTTAACTAGGAAAAGTTGAACAGTAATATAATATTTATATATGAATAACTTTGTCCCACTCTTTATAACACTAATTGCCAGAAATTAGGGAAATCAGAAGGTCATACTATTGTATGCAGACATTTGTAACTAATGTACCTAATCTTTGCACCAATCACTATTCCCCATACCTAGAAGCTAAAACTGGTAAAATCTCATTTTCTCATAAAATTCTGTATATCAAGCACAAATATAGTCTCTCTTCTGCAGGATTTAGGTGTAAAATAGGGTTATGATTCACTGTAAGTCAGAAGCAGTGCACAATCAAGCTTATAACACGAGGAGTGAAAACACAACTTCCAGCAATGAATGGATCTTAAAGGCAATTGCCAGGCAAACCAAGGTAAGCAATCAATAGCTAGCTGGGAAATGCAGGTACTCCACCCACAAAAGAAAAAAAAGGAAGAAAAAGAACATGCAGGCAGGTTTGGCTTTAAATGGCCTTTGCACAAGCGTTACTGAAGGATTTCCTAGGCATTACTGGGTCTCACGGTGTTGAACAGGTCCAAAGAAGGCTTAAAAAATGACTCCCAGGGGGGAAGAGCCTTCATTCTCTCTTGAAAACCATGGTACAACACCACCATGGATACCAGAATACTGACCTGTAGCCACCAGGGTGTTAACTGTCAAGTATACTCATTAATAAGACTCGGTACCCCTCAATGTGAGAGGTTTTCTCATTATATAGAACTAAATCAAAACTAACTATAGTAACTATCAAATACAATATTGATTAATGGTAACTTATTAAATATACAGATTGAGACTTTATATTCTTTCCTTATATTCCGCTCAGATCCCCCCTCAAATTGATGCTGGTAAAGTATCAATTTGCAATCATGAGCTGGCGAGAGCGATAATACTTGTGACCACAAAGGAAAAATCCAAATCAAAGCAACCATCTATAAAAATTAGTGACGACGAGAGACCAAGAGCAATAAATAGTGCAGAAACAACCAAGAACTACTCCAAAGTCACTCCAAGAACACTCTAGAGAGTTAACACCCTAGGAAAAATTTCCAAATAAAATTCACAAAGTGTGTTGACACACACAATGAGCTCTATCTGTCTGGAGATCTCGATCAAACACATAATTCGTGTTATGACAAAAGTTCTAACACTAATACACTGGTCAAAAATCCAACAATATATCACTGGCCAAGATGCTGTAGTTGGAAAAAATCTCGAAAAACAGCCTATACCAAAAAATTCAGAGATAATCCTCCTCTGAGAATCCCTAACCACACAAGGATGATCCTCCTCCGGGAATCCAAAACCTTAGCTCATTACCCGAGCAACCAAAATTCAACGGTCTGCACTACAATGTCTCTCTCGTCTCTACTATACCCATGAAGCATCGTAGAAAAGGAAAAAAATTAGTCAAAACTCAATCATCACCTAATCTTGAAAACGACCACTTTTAAATTTATCTTGCATTGAAATGGACAACCCACAATTATCCACTACATGCTATTCTCTAATCAAACATGCCCAAAAGCCTTCAAACCCTGGCCCAAGATACCCACACAAACTTTAAAAAAATTATAACCAGTAGTCAGCCCACACAAGCTAACAATCCACAATAAAATCAAACCAATTAAATCACATACATATAACTCTTTTGAGAAATAAACAATTACCTATGTCTCCAATAAGGTAAAGATAAGTGAAGAAGACGTTAAGGGGAGCAATCCACTTCCGACATGAAACATTTTTTCTCTTGAATATTTGGACTAACTTAATAACTTAATCCTCAAGTAGCAGATAAAATCATAAATATTACTACTACATACATATTCGTATTCTTCAGCTTATGATAAAAAATAATTAAAAAATTCCTCAAAATTTCTGAAGGCAAAAAAGTCGATTTCAAGCCATACATGCAATAGAAAAGGTATTGAAAGATACCAGAGCAAGTCAACAGAGAAAACCAGCAACAATGCAGAATACACACGGAAATATGTCCGTGGAATTGCAGAAGGAGAAGCATTCAGACGTTCAAGTCGATCCCTAGCTAAAGCTTGAAACATCTGCACAATAAGCAGATGTTAATTTCATAATAAGCGATCGCATATATCCAAACAATATCAGCTGCTTCTATATTTTTAATGAATAGATAGATACCTTTAAGAAACAAACCACGCCCAACCAAGTTGACCACAAGCCTGCTTGAAATATTGTTGGGGTCACCACTAAAGGTATAAATGTTCCCTGAGTCCACTCATTAATTAGTCACCAACACACACACACACAGAGAGAGAGAGAGAGAATTTGTTTCTTTTTTCTTCATATACCTCAATCAATTTAGCATGGCATTGAATGTATTTCCATTATCACCAAAATAAAAACACACACATAAATGCATGAACACACACAGACACTCTTATTGGCCATGCTTGCTATAGTATCAAGGGACCATCATAACGTACAATAAAAAACATAAGTAAACGCACCAAAAAATAAAAATAAAAATAAAA